TGCTTCCAATAAATACGATAAATAAGAAAAGGAGGAGGAAAAGAGATTATTTTAAAATTATCGAAAGTTATTTCAATCGATCGAATAAAAATTTCCACGAATGCGAAGCCGAAGATTTCAAAATACGAGAAATAATAATTGCGAAACGTTCGTTTGATCGTATATCTTGTTATATTCCAGAGAAAATGTCGTGAAAAGCGGTACGATCACGCATCTCCAATGAAAAATTTCCCGTGGCATAATGAAATATATATTTATATCCCTGACTGCGCGAGGCGTATAATCTAAACAGACGCGTGAAGAATTCCATCTTCGACGTGGCTTCCTTGACACGGATAAAAAAAAAAAAGGACGTTCGTTTTCAAACGACGCTTAAGAAAATTCTAATTTTTTTTCCGCTTCGACAAATTTTATTCCCCTCCCTTCTAGCTATTTTTTAGTTTGGAAAATAAATGGAAAATCGGGGGATTCCAGGATGGAATCGATACGAATGGTAATCTTGTTTGGTCTCCATCCTTTCAACAAATTCGCCAATTATTTTTTCGCTCGCGAATCGAATGAATTGTCGTGAAATCCAATAATTTCACGACGCCGCGACAAATTGTTCCGTTATTAACAATAATATAGAAAATTGTGTCTAATTAATTTCGATCGAATTTCTGTATCGAGTACTGTATTCGTGAAATATTTCGTAACGAAAATGATGGGATTCAACGCGTACGATAATATTTAGCAAGCAGTCATATGTGGTTATAATAATGTTTGCGCATAATTGCTTTCTCTAATTAGAAATACGATGATAAATAGGGACGAGCGATCGAATGAAAATTGTTTCGATGAATTCTTTTCAGAGAATTAGGTAAACAATAGTAAACAATATTATTTCAAAAAATGATTAAAATAAAAGCGTGTTTGTATCCCAAAAAAAAGAATTTGAATCGAAAATTTTATTTTATTCATTAGATGCAGGTTACTGAATATTTAAAATTGAATTTTTACTGTTTCGAAAATTGGAAATCCTTTTTTCTACGAAATCATTTTCTGTGTATAATCTTATTACATTTAAAATTGTTTCTCAGGGAAAGTTTCAACTTCGATCGTTCCATATCTCGATGAAGAAAAAAAAAATCTAAACAAGATAAAGATTGAGATATATCCATTGAATAACATCTCAGAGATGTTGTAAGATTAACCTCCTCTAAAAGGACCCTCTCTCACCCTAGGTCGAGAGAGGCTCTCTCGATAAAGCCAACTAAGCTATCTAAACACCTCTTCTCTCCCTATCTTCTCCATTCGATCAATTCGAATCCACTAAACCTCGCCAAATCCAACGATTGAACGATTCCTAATTATCCACCACTTTGCCTCTTAATAATTCACCCCTTGTTTCTAGCAAACTGTACATGTTGGTATACATCCCGAAACGATAATTAGAAATTAATTTGCTTCGATAATCTCATCGTAGACGGGAAAAATAATTTTTATGAAAAAATTAACCAAGATTGGATTTATTATATCTTTCATCGACAAAATCATAAAGCAAGGAACGATTTCGATGAAAATTCTCGTAGCCTGAAATATCATAGTCTCATCGACAAAAGAAAGTTTACAATTCGAAAATTTTTTTTTTTTTTTTTTGAGATCAAAAACAAACAGATTCAACAAATCACCGAGACACACACTTAATTACAAAATTAACAACAATCTCATCGAAAGAAATTTGAATCAAAACTAAAAAGACTGTCGGAAGATCGCGAAAATTATCAAAGCGTCGTCAACGAAACGCCCTGAAGAAGAAGGAACTAATTTTAACGAAAGAAGGAAAGAAAAGACTACGACGAGTCGAATAATAATCTCGAGCTATTAAACAAATAAATAAATAAACGCGGGACTCTGTTTTCCCTGCGGGACAAGAGAGCCGGCCATATCGATCTCCGGAGAGGCGAAGATCGCCCTGCATGAGGCTTTCGAGTGGGGCTTCAGGGCCGTAACCACGGGGCTCGACGCCACCTGCCACGACCTTGACCTAGGGGGTTCCTCTCGCGCCGGCGTCGCATCCTCGCCCTCCCCTTTTCTCTCTGTCCACCTTCTTGCGCGAGAACCTGCCCCCCTCCTCCCCTTCCAACAACAAACCTTGCGCCGGGGAACCTTGGGATCCCTCCGTTCTCCATCCTCGCCACTTTCTCCACCTCGTTCTCCTTCCGCGCCGTTTATTTATCCTCCTCCAGTGCGCTCGTTTCTTATTTACATTTTCAATTGTGTCGCCAATTTTCGAATTCCATCGAATTAATCATCCAGGATTTTCGTTTCTTTCTATCTTTGCCCTTCCCTTTATCGCGAAGTATTCTCCACTTTTTCCTCCTGCGCTTTTTCCCTTTCAATTCAAAAATTCAATTAATGTTCTTCCCCACGATCTATTATTAATTTTCATTTCGAAATTTGTGTTGTTTCAGATATTCCTTTGGTGATGGTAAAATATGATTGTAAATCGAAACTGTTTCTAAAAAATATATAAAAATTTTATATACAAGAACGAATTTTAATTTTAATGTATAAATATATTCAGTTAATAATTAAATTATGTCGCCAATTTTCGAATCATCCAGAATTATCTATCGTTGTATTATTGATCGTTTGAGCTGAGCTTTTCGTTTCTTTCTTTCTTTCTATCTTTGCCCTTCCCTTTATCGCGAAATATTCTGGATTTTTTCCTCCTGTGCATTCGTTTTATTTATATTTTCCCTTCCAATTGTGTCGCCAATTTTCGAATCATCCAGAATTACGGTTTATCTATCGTTGTATTATTATTTCTATCTTCACCCTTCCCTTTATCGCGAAATATTCTGGATTTTTTCCTTCTATGCGCTCGTTTTATTTACATTTTCCCTTCCCCTCCAATTGTGTCACCAATTTTCGAGTTGGATTAATTATTCAAAATTACGGATTACGGTTTATCTATTGTCGTATTATTATCGTTTAAAGTAGCTTTTATATATATATATATATATATTGAATTATAATTTATAATTAAAAGAATAAATTATCTTAGGGATAACAGCGTAATATCTTTTGATAGATCATATATTAAAGATGATTGCGACCTCGATGTTGAATTAAGATTAAAATTAAATGCAGAAGTTTAAATTTTGAGTCTGTTCGACTCTTAAAATCTTACATGATTTGAGTTCAAATCGACGTAAGTCAGATTTCAGGTTTCTATCTATAATAAAAATTAAATTAATTGTACGAAAGGACTTTAATTTATAAATAATTTAATAAAAAAAAAAAATATTAAATAATAATTTATTATTTTAGAATAAATAGTGCATTAAATTTAGAATTTAATTATATTAATATTTAATTAATAAATAATAATTTCTATTTTAATTAATTTAATTATTTTAATAATTATAGTTTTAATTAGTGTAGTTTTAATTTTTGACATTATTTAGAACGAAAAATTTTGGGTTATATTCAGGATCGAAAAGATCCTAATAAAATATTATTTTTAGGATTATTTCAACCTTTTAGAGATATATCTTAAAATTATTATCTAAAGAATGATTTTTTTTTTTAATTATTCAAATTTATATATTTATAGACCAATAATAATATTTTTTTTATCATTGACATTATGAATTTTATATCCATGAATTTATTCAATATATATATATTAAATTATGGAATTTTATTTATAATATTAATTTTAGGAATAGGAGTTTATCCAGTATTGTTTATTGGTTGAATTTCTAATTGTAATTATTTTATTTTAGGATCTGTACGATTAGTAGCTACAATAATTTCTTTTGAAATTAATTTATTTTTTATAGTTTTTAATAATATTAATTGAAAGATATTCTTTTTATGAATTTATTAATTATCAAAATAATATTAAATTTTCGGCGAAATTTCGCCGGTTCTGCACTTTTTCCTCCTTCGATTCGTGTCGTTGCCACGCGGCTCGAGCCGTTTTATCGATTCGTTTTTTTTTCCCCCCTTTCTTTCTTTCTCTCTTTCTTTTCTTCTTTACTAGCAACGTCCGCCCTTCGTTTCCACGCGAATCCTAATTTCGGGCTGTTATTGAAATATTCCTCTTCCACTTGTCCGACTAATTATCATACATCTGAATTTTGTATAATTTCCAAGGGAGAGGGAATAGGAGAGAGCTCGATTCTTTCTCCTCCTCTCAATAATTCTCTAATTAATAAGGAAAGTATAATTAACAAGTTAGCGAGTTTTTCTTGTTCTTGGAATTAAAGCCCTCGATCCTCGAAATGTTTCCTTCGAAATGCTTCCTTTCCGTTATCTCTAGAAACTTTAGAAACGAGCACCGGTTTTTCCTTTTCCACCTTTTCCCAGTTAATCCGCTGGATACTCCCTCTCTCCATCTATGCTCTTGTTCCCATCTTGATAGTTGAAGCAATTTTGCACGGATATAGAAACGATCTTAATTCTATATTAAACGAGAAATTAAGGATTTGCTCAACGATATATTAATTAAAGAAACTAGGGAGCACTAGAGACTTAAAAATTAGAAAAGGAAAGTTTCTAATAACAACTCTCATAAAACTCCCCTATAAGCAAACATATCCAATTTGTACACCCTTCCAAACAATATCCCGACCCTAATTCACATCCCACCCCAATAAATCCCAAAAATCCTCCCTTACAAACCACCCTCCCTACATTATCAACCCACACCGACCCTATACCCATCGATCATAATAATTCGACGATAATTCGAGAGTAATCGAGCGCGAATCGTCCACGCGAAAGAAGGAGGAGGAGGGAGGATTCCTCTTCGTCCAACCGAGTGCTGGACCCCTCTCCTCTCCCCTCCCCTCCCTCCACGAGCAGATACACACGGTCCTCGTATCCGTCCATCCCCACCGGCGACGCGTAGCTACCCCCTCCCCCCGAGCACGCCGCACGCCTCGACCGTCCTCCTCGCGACTGGGAACCCCAGTCGCGGTCCGAACTTCCCCGAGGAGAGAGACCCCTCCCCCCTGGCGGTGGTTCATACCCTGGACAGGCAACTGGGAGAGGCACGAGACACGAGACCACTTTGGCCATGAGACCGCTCTTCGAACCATGCAGGTGGGTGACCCATCCGCATGGGTCTGAAAACCCAGGAGGGTGCTTTTCTTGCCACGAAATTTTTGAGGACACTCTCGAGGTGCAACGATTTGTATATATGTGTTCTCTGGGAGGGTAGAATTGTTGCTTTTGTTATTGGAAGGTGATTTATTATTATGATATATTGAGAGGAGGGTTTGCAATGGTGTGAAGTTGTTGTTGGCTTGGGGGGAGGAGGAGGGTGTCGTTTCGACAAGGCAACGGAGAGATACGAATTATATGTGTATATATATATATATTGGAGAAATGAAGTTTGTATAAGTTATTCTTTTTAGGGGAGGGATTTATGGGAGAATAAAAATTCTTTTTTGGTTGGTAATTAATTAATTAAGTTGAAGAATGGTTGTTGAATAACAAGGTACGACCCAGGTCATTTATAATCTCAACGTTTCCATAAACGCATAAATTACTGGTATTTTTCCTTTTTCTTTCTTTTTTCTCTTTTTTTTTTTTTGCAATTTTTATGAGCAGTTTTCCCCTCTTTGGCGCGTGTTGTTACGGTATTTTAAATTCAGTTCGTGGAAAAACCGCATTATTTACGAGCACGAGCTAATATATATTCGAGGGTGAACAAAGGGGTGGATTTTCCTTTCTAATTTAATCGAGAGGGAGCGGATTAATTTTTGAAAGAGTCGGAATATAATTTACGTCTTCTCCCGGATTTTCTTGACGGATAATGTCCAAAGGAAGTATTTGTTACGAGGCTCCCTATAATTAAATTGTTAATAATTCTGTCCAAAGTTTGGCCGAGTTTGCCTGCCTCGTTCCCGATTCCAACCTTCGTTAACCACGAATTTACGAATATTTATCTCTCACTCGAATGAAACAATCCGTTCCTTAGAAAGCTATTCTCGATATTTTAAATTTAAAAATCATTTAATCAATTTCACTTCCCCGACTCGATCTACTTCGAGCTTCACATTTGCTGTTTATCGGGGAAAAATTCTAGAAGAAGTATTTTATATATACTTCTCTTACTCGAAGAGAAAATTTCAGATTCCTTTCGAACAGGGTCTTCCTTTCCCCTTATTATTTTGCCAGAACACGGATTTGATGAATAAAAGGGGAGCCGGTATATAACAGCGGTTATAATGAGATCCTTCCCTCGTCGACAAACGAGGGAAATAGCGCGTCGATGCCTCGCGTTCCTTTTCAAAACCCGCCAGGCGTCAATGACGAGAGGGTAAGAGTGTAAATGACACTTTTGATTAATTTTTTTTTTTTATTTTTTCCAAACGTATCTGCCCTCGTTCCGGATAAATATTTTTATCGTGGAAGAGGGGTTGTCGTTTGAATCGAAAAATAATTTTCATATCGGAGGAAAGAAATTATAATGATGAAAATTCGAAAAAAAAATTTTCGAATCTGGACAAATTCGAAGAGCAAAAAGTTAATTCATGTCAATTAGTTACCCCTAACTTTTCTATTAGTATCAACCCCCTTCCTGTAATATAATAACAAACTTTCTGATCGCCATTTACGCGACAGAATTAATAATAGAAGTTTAGCCCGTTGAAAATTTCATTTCACTCTTTTTGAGAAAAGAAAGAAAGAAAGAAAGAAAGAAACTTTTAATAAAAAAAAAAAAGGACAAAGTCGTAACGTTAAAAGTCGTGAAAAGTCTCGTTAAAACTCGTGTATTAGCATTTGAAAAATTAATCGAAATTTATCCAGCCGAAGAAGGATCTAATATGGAGGGAAAGCAACACCCTTTCCTTCCCCCCCATTTCTTCATCGACCGTGTGTCGTGTCAAGGCTGAACGTGCCAACATCTCTCAGTCACGGTCACGAACGTGGCCGTGTGTCTGCTCGCAATTCGCGATTATGGCCTCGCCCTCCAACCACCCGCTTTCCACAAATTTTTAATGGATTGCGCGAATTACTTCCCCACCCTTCGCCTTCCACGGATAATTTGCTAATCTTAGATCCTTTTTTTTTTCTTCTCGTTGGAAATGGTAATTAGTTTGGAGGTATCGGGGTGTTTGAGCTTCGAGGTAAGCCTCGTTCGAAGTAATTTCGAGGGGGGAATGTAATATTTCGAGGATTGATAACGCTTTGAAATTTTGGCACTCGATTTTATCAAAAGAGTGAGATTGAAAATTTCGAAAAGAAAATTAGAAACGTGTATATAATCGTTTTTTGGATTTAAATAAAGTTGGAAATTTTAATGAAAATTCCTTGATTTTCATCGAACGAAACGTGAAATTAAACGAAGTGCGATCGCAGTATATGAATTACTCCACTTTGTAAGCGAAGAGAAATATGTAGTCGTGAAGACCGTTTAATTTGCATTATTCAACCGGACATGAAATTCGTTACGAACAACAGAGTTCGTAACAACATGTTGAACAAACGATTCTTATCTGAAACGACCGTTAAAGTTTTCCCTCGAAATATCCTGTGTAGCGAAATTCGTTACGTCCGCAATTTTAAATTAATTGCAATCTTTCTTAAAGCTGGATCGATGATAACGCAGCTGAAAATGATATTCGGTGATAGATGCAGACAAATTTTTCAATATTCCCATCGGGATCGAATTCATTAATTTCACGGGTTTTCAATTCCTAATGAACGCGTTGCTGATTTTTTAGATTTTTTTTTTTTAATATGAAAATGAACAGGAATTAATTAAATCTCAGGGATCTCGAATTTAAGAAATTAATTTACTATAAAATTATAGATCCTTTCCTTGGTAATATTCAACGTCGCATCAGAAATATAATAATATAATATATATATATAATATAAGATAAAAAATAATAATTCGAAAATAATTCTTTCTTTCATTTAACGTCATTAAATCAGAAACGAAAGATAAAAGCAACAAATATATATATATATACACACGTTGATACAATGGCGCGGTAAAGAGAATAAAATGAATAGCTTCGCGAAGAAAAATTCTCGTGAATACGTTTTATTGCAAAAATATATTTCTCTCGTATCAATTCACTCGTGTATTCGTGTTAAGTTACGCGGATCGTTGAAAAAAAAAAATATATATATCGAAGAAAAATTTCGTTGTGAACGCTTGAAAAGAAAGAAAGAAAGAAAAGATACATAAGGAGAATAGAATATTTCATAATGGGGCGCGATATCCGCACATCTGGTTTTCGTTCAAATTATGGCCACGAGTTACACTTGTGCGACATACGTCGTACGAAATTCTTTTTAAAAAACCGGTTACAACCGTACATACATATCTCGTTCCTCCGGTTCTAAATATTTCCATTGTCGATCGCGTTATTTTTCTTTTCTTTTTTTTTTTTTTAATTCGAATAAAAAAAATTTCTCCATTTCGTAGATCCAGAGATTCCAAGGGTTTGCATTTGCATGATAATAAGGAGTTAAAATATTCAACGAGCCTTCGGACTAATTGCCGGAAAGGTGTCCCATGAATTTTGAAAGGATTCGATAAATATTTAAACGAGTTAATCGAGTTACAGTTTCCTGTTTGCTTCCAGTGCGAAAATATGGAAAGAACTTCTATCATGTGATTACGAGCTCGTGAGCTGTGCTAGTGCTGCATATGTGTGTGCGTGTATATAATAAAATTCATATTTCCAGCCTACACAGCCTTGTTCTCGCGTAGCTTGCAAAAAATTAAACGTGAATGGTTATAAAGCCCATAAAAGAAAGAAAGAAAGAAAGAAAGAAAGAAAGAAAGAAAAGAAAAACTAAGTAGATACTTCAAGGTTTCGAGGTTTTATAGATATTATAAAAACGCTCCATAAAATGTTTAACGCGAATTTCAACAGCCGCTATTCTTAACGACGTTTCGGTGGTCGTGGAATTTCAGTGAAAATTTAGACAATCTTTGGATCCGACCAACCTTCTGGAAAACGGGGGGTGTTTCGAAACGTTTCATCGTAATTTCTCTTCCGGAAGAGATAACTCCGCTCTCCGCTTTCTTTCGTCTCCCTCCTTTGTTCCCAATTTCTTTTTCTCTCTTTTTTATTCATTTCTATGTCTTTTTCGCCGCGATCCACGAAAACAAAAAATGGGAAAAAGTGTCCAGTATCCGTCACGAGGGAGCTTCCTGATCGCGCTCTATCGATCCACTCTCGCATCGCCTTTCGTTTGACCAGAAGCTTTTTTTACACGAGGCCAGACTAATTATACTCTCTACATGAAACAAATCGCTGAACACGATAAAAATGCATCGATAAATTTACATTATAATCTCATTAAAATGTCGCCGCTTTGAATCGCGCCGAGTTGTGAATCGCTTATCGTCCAGCGAACTCGAAGAATGCCACCACGATCTCTCGAACAATTTTTTCCCTTTTTTCCCCTCTCTCTCTTCTATCCCTTTGAAAATTAAAAAAAAAAAAAGAACTTTCAACGATGATACGTGTCGAATTTTAAAAATTTTAAAAATGTTCCTCGAATCAGAAATTTTCCACGCGACGGATAAAAAATAATTTTTCCCTTCTACGATGATTTCTTCGAAAGGAAACAACAAGAATGGACGACGCAGGACAGGATTATTAAAAAGGATGCACTGGAGGCAATAAGAATTAACCGGAGAAAAAAAAGGAGGGGGGAAGGGAGAAACGGCATACATCAAAGGAAATCCTTCGAAATCGAGGCGTATCCTCGATGGTCCCTCGCCATTTGGAAGAAAACGGGGGATCGAGATCGTGGCAAAGCGCACGAGTCGCTTCTTTGAACTTTGCACTTTTATTATTCCACCGTGATAAATATTAAACTGTTCCCGACAATTCTCGCGTGAGCCGAACGTCTGCGTCATCGTGTCACAAAGAAACGACAATGTGTTACAGAGAGAGCTTGGTTCTCTGATGGCAAATACGCCTTAATGAAAATCCGATCGAGTGGTGGTCGAAGACATTCGATCGTTCTATACCTCGAGAAACATCATCGATGTGTATTGGGGATAATCTCTTGTATCTTCGTCGATCTTACAAACATATCCATCTCATTTATAGTTTTAACGAAGATGGATATCGAGAGTGAAAATTTTGGGAATTTTAAAAAAGATTAATGAAAAATGAAAGTTTTTAAAGAGGCTCTTTATTTGTGAACACGAGAATGAAATGTTCGATCTCTCTATTGTTTGATCTAAGCGAGTGTTTAATTTGTTCTCTGGTGCTGGAGCAAATAAAGTTTCACCCAGGATTATATATAGTCGGCCGATCAAACATTTGCGATTCATCAGGGAAATCAAGTTTGCAAGAAACTAATCTGTGATCGATAATGATCTGTCGGAAACACGCCCCTCCTCTACTTTCTATGATAAATAATACCCCTCTTCTATTCACTTTTGAAGTTATTCTTGGAAGCGAGAAACGTCGAAGGTTGTTTAATATTATTCCGATCTTGGCTTTAAATTTCCTCGAAGAGAAAGAAAGCGATTCGTTCTTCGAGTTTCGAAATTTTTTTAATTCAAATCAAATATCCTCGATAATTATCTCATTGAAAATTTTACAACGTTGCCGATCTATTGACTAATTTATTAACACGAGCGAGTTAAAAGAGTTGTACAAATTTTGCACATCTTTTATTATTTATTTATTATCATAGCTATGACGTAGATCGAAATCATTCCTTTCATTTTTCCTTGGGTATAATAATATAATTTGCAATTTCATTTTTATTTATATATTTCCACGATTGCACGTTTCAGTGAGATTTTGAAACTTTCGAACTGTGCAACCGTGCAATCAGTTAGATCACCGAAAAGCTACACGCGATTACAATTGACAAAATATACGATAACACTTTTATACACGAGCCTCTCCCTTGCGAATAGCCGATAAACGTATCAAACGTAACGATCATTCCCAACGACAGACCAAATATCGATGGAAACTTACACATACATACACACACACACACGTGGATCGCGTGGAACTCCGTTTTCTCCGTTTCCATATCTACGATACTTTATCTTATCTTATTTGCCCAAATTTTCAACCCTCTCGAGTTGATTTAATATTATTTAAAAAATAGAAATTATTTTAATTTTTAATTTTTAACTTTCAACCCACTCGAATTGATTTAATATTATTTAAAAAATAAAAATTATCCGATTTTAATCCTTATATCGAATTAATTAATCAATTCTCGAGCATCGAAAAAGAAATCTATGATATCTTATTCGCCCAAATTTCAACTCGAATTAATTTAATTATTATTTAAAGAATGGAAATTATTTTAATTATTTTAATTTTTAATTTTTAATGCCCAAATTTTAATCCTCTCAAGTTGATTTAATATTATTTAAAAAATAGAAATTATTTTAATTTTTAATTTTTAATGCCCAACTTTCAACCCTCTCGAGTTGATTTATAATATTATTTAAAAAATGGAAATTATTTTAATTTTCATTTTAATTTTTAATTTCAATCAATTCATCGAAAAAGAAATCTATGATACTTTATCTTACCTTATTCGCCCAAATTTCAACCCTTTTGAGTTGTTTTAATATTATTTAAAAAATGGAAATTATTTTAATTTTTAATTTTTAATGCCCAACTTTCAATCCACTCGAGTTGATTTAATATTATTTAAAAAATAAAAATTATCCGATTTTAATTTTTATATCGAATTAATTAATCAATTCTCGAGCATCGAAAAAGAAATCTATGATACTTTATTCGCCCAAATTTCAACTCGAATTAATTTAATATTATTTAAAGAATGGAAATTATTTTAATTATTTTAATTTTTAATTTTTAATGCCCAACTTTCGAGTTGATTTATAATATTATTTAAAAAATGGAAATTATTTTAATTTTTAATTTCAATCAATTCTCGAACATCGAAAAAGAAATCTATGATACCTTATCTTATTCGTCCAAATTTCAACCCTTTTGAGTTGATTTAATATTATTTAAAAAATGGAAATTATTTTAATTATTTTAATTTTTAATCTTCTCAAGTTGATTTAATATTATTTAAAAAATGGAAATTATTTTAATTTTCAATTTTTAATTTCCAATTAATTAATCAATTCTCGAGCATCGAAAAAGGAAATCTACTTTACCTTATTACTTTACCTTTACCATCTAAATTTCAACCCTCTCAAGTTGATTTAATATTATTTAAAAAATGGAAATTATTTTAATTTTTAATTTTTAATTTTTAATGCTCAAATTTCAACCCTCTCGAGTTGATTTAATATTATTTAAAAAATAAAAATTATCCGATTTTAATTTTAATATTCAATTAATTAATCAATTCTCGAACATCGAAAAAGGAAATCTACGATACTTCACTTTATTCGTCCAAATTTCAACCCTCACGAGTTGATTTAATATTACTTTATATTAATATTATTAAATTTATATATTACATTTATAATATTACTAAAAATACAAATGGAAATGATTCGATTTTAATTTTAATCCCAATCAATCCTCGAGCATCGAAGAAAGGGAAAATAATTGGAATAATTTCGTTGATGAGGATCAACGCGTGTATACGTGGATGCTAATCTCGACACGAGGGAGGTAAACAAGTTTCATCGATAAACATTCGTCGAAACGATGAATAATTAGCTTGTCCGAAGCTCGCCAATTTCGAATTTTCACGAGGATTGGATTAAAACTCGTCACTCGAGCGGTGGACAACGAGAATACAACCGGAAACAGGCGCTTAAACCCGCCGCATAAGCCGATAAGCCGATTCGCGAGAAGGATTTTCCACGATGAAAATCTCACTCGTTATTATTTCACATACGAATAATAAACTTTGACATTTGTTTGTTACGGTTAATATAACTTCTCCTCTGGAATCATAATTTTATTCGTTTTTATCGAATGACAGGACGCGATGGAGGGAAACGTCGTTCTCATCCGATGAAATTTCCGGTAACGAGTTTTCGAGTCTGGTGACAAGCGGGACCGCGTGACGCGGACGCAACGTTTGCATAATGCGTTTATACACACGTGCATCTGACATAATGCTCGTTATCAGCGGTTATGTCAGAAACAGAGGAGACGCTCGCGTGCTCTGTCTCGTATATGCCTTCGATGCGGTTAATATAATATTCTCCGATAATAAGAAGAACAAAAAATTAATTGCAAACGTAATATAATACGTAATAAAATTGTGATTCTCCTTTGATCCAATTAATGCACCTATGTATATCGACGAACCACGCGTTACGTTGCTTTAACGCGTTCGATTATTCCTTTGTTTGCTCGTTTAATCATCATGATCGTGAAACAAACTAATTAAATATATATATATATATATATAAAAGCTAGGATTAGCAACGAAATTGAAGGATTGATCGATGGAAATATAATATAGAAATTAATATTTCATAAAGAATAAAAAAAAAAAAAAGAAACATAATTATTCATAATAATTTATTATTTTATTTATCCTACATCCTATTTTACGCTATATCAATCTCGCGTCTATGTTCGATAATCGAACACTCGTGCCAACTTCGTGCCGTTAAATATTAACCTTCGTTGATAATCTTCGTCACACGACAACAACAACAATAACAAGAGTTGTAAAAATTGCATAATCCTATCGATCCTATCTATTAATAATTATCGGTTATTATAAAAAGGAAGGAAGGAAGTGTGTATTATGTACATGTGTAATATTAAACCGTACCTTCAGAAGCCACTGAGAGAGCTGGGCCGATTGTGCCTGAGCGCGGGCGAGCAGAGCAACGAGGTCGTGACGGAAGTTCGCGCGGAGCCTCGTGGCGGGCTTCCCCTGCTCCAAGTATGGCCGAGCGATTCGCCAAGGGGCGAGGCCGATGGACAGGCGCAGGCATTCGTGTTTCCGGATGTCCAGGAGAACGTCAACGACAGCGGCATCGAGTCCATACAGGTAACGTAACGAAGAAACATTTTTAAATATATATATATATATGCATTTCAATTGTGATAAAATAATGATAAAATTGAATCGAGAGTATCCTTTAATTCTACGAATTTTATTTTGCCTCGACGATGTTGGTGAAAAATTTTGGTAATTTTAATTTAAAAAGTTTCGGGATCGATGGTGAAATTTCGAAATTCGACGACACCATTAGATGATAGGGATAAGTAAAGTTGGCTATTGAATTTCAAAATTTGATGGAGACAGTTAAAATTTAATAAACCATCAAGTTGAGAAACCCGATAACGGTTTCGAGGCGAACTTTTAAAGTTCAATAATTCACGGTTCATCGATTCCAATGATCCAATATCAACTGAAAATATCGACTAGAATCCGACAAACAACAATCCCGCGAAGCCATAGACGTTCGCATATTCTCTACAATATGTTCAAACTCTTGGAATTCCTCGTCGAATCCTAAAACTTCGATACAAAAAAGAAAAAAAAATTCCATCTCTAATTCTACAATTTTCAATTGTACTTCTACAATTCCATTTATTTCAAATTAATGGCTCGTATGATTATTTTGCACGTACGTTTTTTTTCTCGAAAAAAAAAAAAGGCATCGCCTTCGCCGTGCGGCGTGGCAAGCACTAGTCCAGCAGCCACGCCTCAACAATCGCGACGCGCCAGCCTACTCCATCCGGACCACGCTCGGCTTCAGTTGCACCATTTGCATCACAATCACCACAATTCCGGGATTAAGAGTCCACCGACACCGGACAGGACGTCCATCGACGAGGAGCCCCCACTCCCGCCCAGCCCTTCGAGTTCGACAACCAGCAGCCTCCGCTCCATGCCCAGCTCCGCGAACGCCCAGATGCACTCGCAGGACAGGAGACGTAGCAGCAGGTGATATTTCGTTCTCGAAATATGAAATTTAGAAATATGATATAGTTTCTTTTTTTTTTTTCAAGGAAAAGCGAAGTGCTTCCTCGAAAAGTGTCGTTGTCGTGGAGAAAGATATATTTTCTTTATATATATATATATATATAAAAAATGGGATTGGTACGACACGAATGAGAAGATTAAACACGTTCGTGATAATATCCTTTTTTTTTTTAGGTTAATTAACGTTGCTTTTGTTACCGTTCACGTTTCGAAAACGCTAAATGCCATTCTCAATTTTATCATCGTGGTAATAACGAGATACAAGGGGATAGATAACGAGTGTCCCTTCGTCCGAAATGTACATACAGCTGACTTTAATATACGTAATCCCGCAATATCCACGAATTTCCAAATACACACCCACCACGTTCAGCCTTCAACATACGTTTCAAATAATTCAAATCGAATCTATCTACCTACGTACGAAATGATGCAAAGGATTGTCACTTTAAACAGTTTAAATGCTAAGCAAATTAAAAGAAAAAAAAAAAAAAAAGAAAGAAATATTAGAAAATGAAATTTATTTTCTCAACAATTTTCAACTTTCGAAATTTGCCTTGTACGTAGGCGATTGGTCAAGATTGGCCTTTTCGACATCTTGCACGTTCCCGATAAAACTTTTCTTCCACGTCCGTCACGGAAAATTTTTATTCGCCTCTCCACACAACTTCACGTTACACATACTCACCTGTATATTTGTTTTCACGTTCTCGTTCCTCAGGATAAGACGAGGATATCGACGATCGTTTCACACGAGATTTTCCTGTATGAAAGGAAAATTGGAGAGGGGAAGGGGGCCTGAAACGTGTCTGTTCCCGATCCGTGAAATTACCACGGACTCTGGAAATAATCCCTCGGGCTGATACGGTCTGACGTCGATCTTGACTCGTGTCAAGGCGCGACCCTGGCACCATGCAAATATATACGGCCACTGCACATACACACATACACACACCACACACACGTACACGTGCCGGTTTACCGCTCTCTCCTTTTTCATTTATGCATCTCGAGATATTAATCGCGTCCCTGGTATCCCGGTGATCCGGGGCAAACGGTTTCCTTTCACGGAAATTCACCTTTCAAACGAAGCGAAACCTTCGTATTCCGGATCAATTCGAGAATTCGTCTCGCTTTTCTCGTTCCCCGTTTCTTTTCCAAGATTTTCAAGATTTTAATACGTAAAGCAGATACAAGATTACGCAATTGTTTCAACAAAAATCGGATAGATAATGGTCTTTCTGCCGATTCTTCTCGTCGAACGATTCCTCCGACTCACCGTCGTCGAACTTTCAAATTAAAATTTCCGGCTTTTCACGTAAAATATATAACGTTCTTTCCCGATCTTCAACCGTTGATTTCCTAAACAGTGACGCCATATCGCTCGAAATTGTCACATGGGAATGGAAACTCTTAGAGCGCCCCTCGCGGCTCTTCTTGAAAACGAAAGAACGCCGTTTCGGATGGCGCCACAGAAGCAGAAAATAATTCGAATTCGGTCAAGAAAGGGAAGGATCTTATTTTAATAGATTCGATTCGTATTCCACGAAATGCTGGATAACATCGATTTTAGCGAATTAACTTGTCCTTCTCGAGTCGGGTACTCGAGTTGAAACGATACAAATTATAATATATAATATAAGTTTTCGTTTGATCATCCAGCGATTTCTCTACAGTTACCTCTGCAGTAATTACAAATAGCTAATGAGCTGTCCTTATATATACGTATACACTGTTCATATTACCCTCCACACTGAAGATACCTCTTCTCGTATTCACGCAAAGCAGAATCATAGATAGAATCGCGTCCATTATTATCCATATCATAAACTCGAATCTGAAAATACCGAAATACATCTCAACACGAACTCTTAACAAGTCTTCGTTCAGAAAACTTCGTTCGGATTGAAAAAAAGGGTATCTTGGGCCGACAGGTACAGCATGTTCGACGCCCTGGACCTGGAATACGCCCTCCTGAGGGCGGCAGCCCGCGGCTCCGTGGGTCCCTACTCCCTATCGGAGTCCCTCCACAAGCTGACCTTCACCCAGAGCTTGGCCTTTCCCGCGCTTGCCCGGGGCCTGGCCTCGAAGCAGAGCGTGCCCACGAGGAGGCCCCAGCAGCACACGGAGAGCGGATTGAACGCGTTCGCCAAGGTGGTGACCGCGCTGGTGTTGGTATTGGTCAGCGTGCTCGTGTTCGGCGTGGTGTACAAGTTCGTGAGGACGTGAGGATGGTTGCTGGTGCCCGATCGGCCGGCCGACTCCTCGCAGGAGTTGGATCGGCCGGGCACCGGCGACGCCTTCGACCACTGAACGGTCGAAACTCCTCGATCCGAGTTTTCCTTCTCGGACGACGCATGCACGAGCTCGAGGATGAATCTATCATACGATGATCTTCGCGGGTGGCCTAACCCTACCTGACGAGGAGATCCTTGATTTGGAACTGATTCTGGAAGAGGATGTGACACGTTAATATGAGTTAGAAAGATGGATATATATATATATAAGTAGATAAGTGTAAGAGAAGTGCGAGCTTGAAACGAATCGAAAAGGGGAATCCTCCTCGAAAGAGGATTGTTTCGATGGTGAATCGTGAAATCGTGAAGAAAGAAAGAAATTTCTAAATCTTGATACCGAGCATTTTTACCGAGCGTGTTATTATTACAATTCAATATTAATCGTCTCTCGCGGTATTTTTATGCGGGACGAAAAAATGTAATCCATGTATGACATTTACATTTCGTAAAAAAAAAAAAAAAAAAAAAAAAAGAAAGAGAGAAAAGAAAAAAATATAGTTTTTTTCTCTCTCTCTCTCTTTTGAATAATAAAACACGTTCGTTCGAGAAATATCGAATAGCTATAAATTTTATATTTACTCTTTTTTTTTTTTTTTTTTTTTACGTAATACCATTAAAACGAATCGTATAATACGCCTCTAATACGGCGAACGTAACATTTCAGTTGTTTAATGCTCGATTAAATATACATTTATTCGCTTATCCGAGAAAGGAATTTTTCGTTTAATTTAAATCGTAGAGAGATCGTAGAAGGATAGCTAATTCCAATTACAATACAAGCATCGATTTTATATAACAATATTCCTCTGTTCACGGATGAACGATCCTCCCCTTCCTCCTCCCCCTTCGCCCCTTCAACATCAACCGATATGATAATTCCTTTAATCGATTAAAATCTTCCGCCCCGTACGAGAGAAAAACACATGCACGTTTTTAATCGGGCAGGAAATCCGACGACTCTTCAAGTGCTTTTACACGTTTCTATCCCGACACGACAATCGCTCCGACGATATTTAAACGATCGGATATAATATATATATATATATATATTTATAATTATTATAATTATTATATTTATAATCGCGGCCGAATTCCTTCGCGTCCTCGACGTGGCGAACGTCGATGGTCTCGGTAGTTGAAGCTGCGCGCGCGAACGTGAAAACGTGATAACGTTACCATGGAAACGTTTGTCGAATCGTAATTATTTTTCCCGTGTATTTTACATCGATCGAACGTTAGAACCCATTCACGTTCGTTACCACGTTCTCGTTGCTCAAAGAGTTTTCATTTATTAAACCATGCTTGGAAAGTTTCTATATATATTTTTGGTATTTGTTTTGCGTTGTAAGTGTAATCCGGAAATGAAATTTCTTTGCAAACCTTACCCGTCGACGCTTTACACGAGATAATCGTGAAATGTATACACATATATTCTATATATTGTAAATATATATATATATATATATATATATACACATACAAGTATGAACGAAGGAGCACCTCGATTCTTTGATTCGTTGCGTTGTATATCAAGCAAATTGTTATGATAATATCGATACTTAAAGAAGACATTGAAGACAAGTTAAAAGTGTATATCTATATATATATATATATATACATGCGCTACGAAATAGGGAGAAAGAAGAAGAAGAAAGAGTTTTTTTTACCTTGGATAAAAATTAAATAAAAAGTATTTCGAGATAATTATTCGATTAATCTGGCCGAATCTTTAGAGGAGATATTTTTTCACTCAAAGAAGTAGAAGAAATGGGTTTTGAATAAAAAGAAAAAAAAGAATATACTTTTGACAGAATGGTTACTGTCGCTGTAGAATGTAAACAATGTAATATCGATATAGTATCGCTGTAGTCGTTTCTTTTCTTTTCTTTATTTTAAGAAGACTAATTTTTTTTTTGGAAAGAAATCGATCGATTATTCGATCAATCGCTTCATACTGTACAAAAAGAAAAAAAAAAAAAAAAACTCTCGAATTTGTTCAAACTAATATTCCGAATAAAGATTTTTTTCGATAATTTACCATTTTCCATCCCATACATCCGTCCAATCGAATTTTCAAGATGATTGTGACCCTTCCAAAGAGATCTATTCGAATCTGAAATTCGTACAAAACATCGTATTTATATACACTTACCACTCGACACACAATTGGTTGGCGAAATAAACTCGTAAAATTGTTCCATTTCCAATTGAAATGTCGAAGCATTTCAATCTACCATTGCACCGTAACCCGATCCTACCAATCAAAATCGAACCTAACTTTCATCGAACTGAACGAACAACACAAGTCGAAGTAAACATAAAAAAAAAAAAAAAAATAAAAATTAAATCACGAGTGCTGCACCGTTTCATAAAAATAAAATAACAAACCAACGAAAATCTTTTGGAACAAACCCAAGGAAAATGAGGAGGGGGGGAGGAGAAGATGATCGAGACAAGAACCGATTCACATCGGCTAAGAAGAAGCCGTTTATTTTTATTTTTTTACAGTCGCGTGATTCCATTTCCCTCCCCTCCCCGGCGTATCCCTAATCTGAAGAAGTTTATAACTTTTTTGAAAGTTTACAACGAATGTTCCCTCTTCGAAGTCTCACATCTAAGGTGCTAAGATATCTACAGTGATATAATTCCTCTTACACGACTATACACGCATTTCGGCCGGGTCGCCGAACTTTCCCCTCCACCGTGGACGATATATTAATCCCCGTTTCGCTCTTTTCATCCATCCTTTTCATTTTCTCCTCCTCCCCTCTCCTTTATATATTTACAAGAGATTCTCCTTTATTGCTACTTTACAATATCTCCGTCTCGTCAGACGCGGCAAACGTTTGCGCATGCGCGTTTTTCCCTTCTTCCATAATTCGTCCATTATGCGTATGTATGTGTGCGGAGATCCATGTCGTGGACCGCGTCGATATATCAATTGGAAGTACGCGAACAGTGGAGAAAGATTCAACGAGCGAACTTTCCTCCCTTCTTTCTTCCTCTTCTTCCTCTTCTTTTTCTCGTTCCTTCTCGTTTCTTCCCGAGCAAATATACTCGACGACTCCGAAAGGAAAGAAAATTTTTTTCTTTTTTTTTTTTTTTTTTCTTTTTCTTTTTCTTTTCCCTTTTCTTCTCCCTTCTTGCGCATCGAGAGAAGAGTTGTACACATCGATTTATACGATACGTGTTGTTGTGTAATTTTTTTTTCACTCATCGTGTTTCATTTCACTAGTAGCAGTTCTTCTTAGATGAGAAAAAAATGAAAGTTCAAGAAGAAAGTAAAGTGTGTAACGAGCCGAGGGTGTTGTCTAAAAATCTTTGTTGATTCTAAAATATAAATGACGGATTTTTAAAAATGATTTTCCTTCGGATTTGATTGCCCTGCCCTCCCCCTATTTCTAGTTCTCCCTCTCCTTGTCGCTATATAGGTCTGTCCAATCTGACCACTGTTGTCGCGCTTAGGCCGTTTCTTTCTCGTTTCTTTCTCTCTCTCTCTCTCTCTCTCATCCTTCGTTGATTCGTGTCTCTGTTTAATCCTTTCGTAACGACGCGCGAAAAGACGTATCGTTAGAAAAAGACTGTTATATAAAAAAGCAATGAAAATATCTCGGATTTAAAATTTAGATCGGTTGCGGTAATATAATGTCGTTTAAAAATCACAGTACGAATTACTTTTTTTTTTTTCTTTTTTTTTCTTTTTATTTATTTATTTTTTCTTCTTCTTCTTCTCAACTATCCAGTTTAAAAACTTGTTGCGAATTATACAAATCGGGTGTTGAATAATTTATTAAACCGACGAAAGGATTAAATCCCAACACAATCCTCGTTTGTGTTTCCCGCCCTCGCGTGTGCGCGTCTTTTTTTTTCTTTTTCTTTTTTTCTTTTTTTTTTTCCTTTTTTTTTTTTTCACGTACTCGAGTCATCTTCGGTTACGATTTATTATTATTATTATTTATTATAACTCGGCGACTGAAACTGTAGAAAAATAAATTATTATATCATGTTCGAGGATATAGTGCTACTCTCGCGTGGTAATCGTCCTATGGACGACGACGTACCAGGATGTTTCACGAATGAAAGTCCAATTATCTCGAGCGCAAAATAAGACCAACTTTGAAAATTCAATTCAATCTCTTATGAAAAATCTCTCGTAAAAAAAAAAAAACACGCTTAGAATACGGAAACGAAGAAATATTTTAAATAAAAAGAAAGGAAAAAGTAACACGTTTCATATCGTGTTATTTCGATCTCAGAAATAAAATCAATGTTTGTTAACGCGCGACTTCGAGTAATGGGCTTGATGAAATCCCTTGTACGTTCACACAATTAAAAATCGGATCTAAGCTCTCTTAAGAAACTTCTTCCCCGCTCTCGTACAAATAGAATCGGTTTTCTGCATGCAGAAAAAAATATATAATCGGATCGAAACTGTACGTGTATAGAGATCTCGGTAAATAAGTATTCAGTAGTTCAAACACGACGAGAACGTTCTGCACGTGACCACGTTAATGAAACGGTAAATTTCTAACCTGCTGTTCCTTTTCTCTCTTCCTTCCTTTCTTTCTTTCGTTTCAACATTCGATGATGCTTAATTTAAACGACAGTTTTTTTTTTCTTTTTTTAAACATTCAGAGTTAGATAGGATTTTATTTATTATTTCTTGTCATTTCGCCTTGTTTTCTTTTTTTTTTTTTTCTTTACGTTAACCGTCGCAAGAAAGAAAAAATGAAATTTTCTACTACTACAATTGTAGGTTTATTCATTGGGAAAGGTTTTTTTTTTTTTCTAATAAAAAATGGTATCAAACGTTGACGAGATCAAACGAAGAGTAACAATCGATAATTTCCAGAATATCGATGATTAACTGCGACAGTTAACGTGACACCATCACGTTCACATTTCTGAACGTACGAAATTTTCCCTTTGACACATTTTTCTTCTTCCTCCTCCATTCCATTTTCTTCTTTTACTCTTTTTTTTTTTTGTTTATCTTTTCTGAATTTCATTTCATTTCATTTTTTTTTTATATATATATATATCCTTGTTACAAATTCTTTTCAAAATTCTACGAGAACAGAGCTCTAGTAATCGACAAATTTTTTTTTTTTTTTCTTAGAGCTTCTACGAGATTTTTTTTTTTTTTTTTTTTACAATACATAACAATTTCTTTACTTTCAATTTTCGATATATTCGGAACGTATTTCTTTTTTTTCTTCTTCTTCTTCTTTTTTCGACAACAGTATGTATCTGCACATCGATCTTGTACAATTATTGTACAATCGATTGATTTACACATGACGCGATACGATCGGTAATAATTTAATTATCGTAACGATTACATTCCGCGAGAAGAAATGGCGCGAATTCAATTAATTTAATTATATATCGATCGATGTCGAAGAAATCATTACAACGATTAGACTCTGAAATTCCTCGAGAGAAAGGACGAAAAAAATTTAACAAGACCTTCGAAATATTCTTCTTCGAGATATTACTCTACTCTACATACATACACACACGCACACACACTCCTGTTAAAAAATCTCATTTGCAACGCAAGTTACATTACATTTGTAATCCAAAAAAAAAAAAAAAACAATGGAATTATATTAATTCGCTTCGATAATACATAATTCCAGTAGAAATGAAATTAAAAATCACGGTTACAAATATATATATATATATAGAACGTGTCGCAAAATTTTTTAGCAGAAGCGTGTTAATCTCGCTTGAACATGGTGTCACGACGATTAGAGAGACGATTGAGATCGTAAGAAAGCGCACAAGTCGGCGTAACGATTATAATTAGTTCCGATACTGTGTGCGAGCCACTTTAGGAAAAACACCTACCCCTAATTGACCACGCTTCAACCCTCGTCGCGGGATCTAGAAAAATAGAGTGGACGATCGCGTAGAGATCACAACGATTTATACGAGCTTTCTACACACTTTCTTAAGTTACGTATCTACTTGGATCGATCGACTAGACACCGTCTCTCATTTTCAAAATCAGTTTCACCTAATTAAATTATCCTAGATATGCAAGATTCGACTGGATTCTTCGATTCCTTTCTTTTTTTTTTTATCCTTTTGTTCGATTATTGTTTCGAGCTTCGAAGCCAGCCTACTACGAACCACGCTATTATTTTTCTCTTCTTTTCAATCGATAGATTCTACGTAGAATGGGATCTTTTCTTCTAGTTAACTGACACCGGATCCAAGACGACGTTTATAAAACGTTTCATTTTTATACAGTGAAACAGTTTCCTCTCGAGCGTCGTTTCTAATAATCCTAATTGTTTCTTCTGATTTTGTACCCTGTTCTTCGATAATCAATAGCACGGTTCGAGAGACAGCGGTAAGAATTTTTCTTCGGTGGCTGGCTTTCTTCTTTTTTTCTTCTTTTTTGGAGGTCGATACATGGTCGATAAAAATAATTCCTTCGAGATCGATCGTTCAATTATCTCTTCGAAAATGAACTCCTTCTTCTCAAGGAATCTTTCAAAAGAATCTCAGTTTCTCCTCTTCTCCTCTAAAGATTCTCCATTCTTCAAAAAATGTCGAAAGAGAGATCTGACGAGGCGAGGTGTTCCTCTTCGAACCTCGAGTTTTCCAACCTCGAGCGGAGCCAAGCCTCCCCGATTCTTACATCGAGAGAGAGAAAAATCTTGCTCGACGAGAGAGGTCCCCCTTCCCCGTGAACGAGCAACTTGTTCTTTCCTTTTCTCTTCTTTTTCTTTTAGAGCCTTCGAGTGTCGTAGCCTACTGATAGATGATCGGATGGGCGGGTTCGACGGGCAGGTCGCTGTCCAGGTTCAAGGACACGCCGTCCTTCGAAACGAGGTAGTGGGTGAGCAGCTGGCCCTTCCCCTTCACGAACACAAGGCCTCGTTGCTCGAAGCCGAAGCCGAACGGCTCGAGGATCTTCCGGGTCTCGTCCGTCACCTGTATTGCACGATTTCGCCATGATTTTTCCCCCCCTCCCCCCTCGATAGAAGAAGAAGGGTTTGAATATTCGGATATTACCTGGATGCAGCCCACTTTCCCAGTGCTCTCCATCCTGGACGCAACGTTCACGGTGTTCCCCCATATATCGTAGTGTGGCTTCCTGGCCCCGATCACCCCGGCTGTGATCGGGCCGTGATTGATACCCATCTTAAGCACGAAGTGGTTGAAACTCTGCTCGTTAATGCTCGACAACGCTTTCTTCAACTCGAGGGCGAACTCGACCAGGGTCGACAAGTGGCCCCATCGAGGCGCGTCCTCGGATTCCGACGACTCGGTTATCCCGGACGCGGCCATGTAAGTGGAGCCTATCGTCTTTATCTTGATGATGTCCTTGAACTTGTTCTGATCGAGGATCTGAAAATGGAATAAAAATAGAATAATGAAATGATAAAATTTCTCTCCGTTTCGAAAAATTTCGCTCCTCACCGCGTCGAAATCGGATATCACTTCGTTCAGGAATCTGAGACACTCGAGGCCTTGGTTGTTGATGCTCTCCTCGCTGTAGAAATCGGCAAAGTTGGGCATGCTGGCGAACAGGACCCCCACCTCGGCGTAACTCTGGCTGTAGAGGTCGTCGTGGTGCCTCGCCCTCGAGAGGAAATACGCCGCCACGTGGGGCGGGAGGATGTTGTATATGAGGGCGCCGTTCCTTCGTTTCATGTCGGCCGCCCTTTCCCTCTGCGCCACCACCTCCCTGCCCCTTAGGTACAACATCCTCCTCGACTTCTCAGCCTGCGAATCGATCGAGCACGAGGCCAGTAGTCGAAAACCTTAACTTTACCCTTAACTTTACCTTTTTTTTTTTTTTTTTTTTATTCGTTCAAAGGTTAATTTTTTTAAATATATATATATGTGTGTGTGTGTATTCATCGATAAGGAAATTTTCGAGCGGGGATTATTATTTTTTTGTCTTTCTTTTTAGGAAAGAGAGAGAGAGAGAGAGAGGCTTTCGTTTCACGGCTAATTGTGATCCTCGTCGACGAGGAGTGTCGACAGATGGGGATGAAAGATGCACCCTCGACTGTCGGGCCAAGCACGCCCTCGACTTTGATGAATTTGTTCAAGAGGTTGTTTCGAGCGAAGCCTCGATTATTCTTTTCTTTTCCCTCAAGGGTGGGGGAAATTGAATTTTTTCAAACGAGACAGAGCCAGAGTGGTGGTTTCTTTTTTCGATATCGAGTGACGAAGTTAAATAGTACTTTACTCTTCTATCATTTTGAAACATCTTCAAATATATATATATATATATTTTATTTCGAGTGAGCGAAGGATAAATTTTAGAATTAAAACTCACGTATCTGGAGACGATGACCAAAGAGGTGGCGACGATGAGGAGGGTGACGGATAGGCAGAATTTCGACGGAACTGCGGACGGTTCGAGGGGTGAGGAGGCGTGATCCTCCCAGTCGAGCCTCGAGCCGAGTAACCAGATGTTCATGAAGCATTGGCAGCCCGCGAGCCCGTACATCAGGTACGCTTTGCCCAGATAGCATATGTAGGTCGGCATCGAGGTCGCCACCAGCGTCAGCACACCGATGTACGAGTAGTAGGAAGGGTACGGGCACTTGGCCGACAGGGTTACGTTGTTGGAGTTTAGCGATGGAATAGTTTCCTCGACCACTACGCAGTTGAACTGTGAAATGGTGATATATATATATATACATATGAATAATCAATGTTGAAGCAAGTTTGAAGATATAAATAGAGAGAGAGAGATTTAAAAGATTTAAGAGAGAAAATTGAAACGTGCGTACCATATCGAGGAGGAGGAAAACGGCGAGGGAGAATATCATGAGCGAGGCAAGAGCTCTTCTCAGCCACATGGCTTTGATGGAGCTGCCCAGACAAGTGGCACCGGCCAAAACGACGGCGAACAGCACCACGACCCCGATACCGCCCCACGTGAAAGGCCCCCACGGTTGAAACCTCCAAACAGGAGCGGAACAGACCATCACCAATGGGCCCCCTAACAACGACAGGGGGGAGAACGCTTCCTCGGCATTGTGGAACGCCGATTCCACCTTCGGGTCCTTGAAGCGCAGGGTCAACCAGTGTGCGTGACCCTTCAGATTCACCCCTCCAGCTACGATTCGATTCATTTCTTTTTTTCTTCTTTTTTTTTTTTTTCAAAATTATTTTACGCTACACCAACTACTACTAAATTCGTCTAAAAATATATTCATTACATTACTCGCAAGTTGAATTTACATTCGATCAATATCTAAATATTGATATTTATTTTAAAAAAAAAATAAGTAATTTGTGATCGATAGTAAAAGAGAAATTTTACTGAAATTTATCTAAAAAAATATTCGATCCCTCGCAAGTTGAATTGACATTCGATCAATATCTAAATACTGATATTTATTTTAAAAAAAAATAAGTAGTTTGTGATCGATAGTAAAAAAGAAATTTTTTTTTCAAAATTATTTTACTATACCAAAATTTCTAAAATATCTAAAAAAAAAATATTCGATCCTTCGCAAGTTGAATTGACATTCATATAAAAAAAAGTAAGTAGCTCGAGATCGATAATAAAAAAGAAATTTGAATATTTGAATTAAAAAAAAAAGTAAATAGTTTGTGATCGATAGTAAGAAAGATATTTTTTTTCAAAATTATTTTACTGTACCAAAATTTCTAAAATATCTAAAAAAAAATATTCGATCCTTTGCAAGTTGAACTGACATTCATATAAAAAAAAGTAAATAACTTCGTAAGTCGAGATCGAGTAAAAAAGAAATTTGACCGAAATTTATCTAAAAAATATTCGATCCCTCGCAAGTTGAATTGACATTCGATCAACATCAGATACTGATATTTATTTTAAAAAAAAAATAAGTAGTTTGTGATCGATAGTAAAAAAGATATTTTCAAAATTATTTTACTATACCGAAATTTATCTAAAAAATATTCGATTCCTTGCAAGTTGAAAGTTACATTCGATCAACATCAGATACTGATATTTATTTAAAAAAAAAAAGTAAGTAGCTTGTGATAGTAAAAAAGAAATTTTACTGAAATTTAAAACTAAAAAATATTCATTCCCTTGTAAGTTGAATTTACATTCGATCAACATCAGATACTGATATTTATTTAAAAAAAAAAATAAGTAGTTTGTGATCGATATTTTTTTTTCAAAATTATTTTACTAAAATTTTACCAAAATTTATCTAAAAAATATTCAATCTCTCGCAAGTTAAATTGACATTCATATAAAAAAAAAAATAACTCACTCGAGATCGAGTAAAAAAGAAATTTGACCGAAATTTATCTAAAAAATATTCGATCTCTCCCAAGTTGAATTGTCATTCAAAATAGTAAATATCAGCAGATGCTAATATTTACTAAAAAAAAAAAGTAAATAGTTTGTGATCGATAGTAAAAAAGATATTTTCAAAATTATTTTACTATATCAAAATTTATTCAAAAAATATTCGATTCCTCGCAAGTTGAATTGACATTCGATCAGCAGATGATAATATTTATTAAAAAAAAAAAAATAAGTAGTTTGCGATGGATATTTTTTTCCAAAATTATTTTATCATACCAAAAATAATCTCTCGCAAATTAAATTGACATTAATATAAAAAAAAAAAAAAAATAAGTAGCTCGTGATCGATAATAAAAAAGAAATTTGAAATTTATCTAAAAAATATTCGATCCCTAGCAAGTTGAATTGACAGTCGATCAGCATCAGATGCCGATATTTAAAAAAAAAGAAAAAGAGAAAAAATAATAAGTTTGCGATCGAGATTAAAAACGATTTCCTCAATTTGTTTACTTTTGCTGTCGAGCTCCTTCCTCAGCCTCTGCCTAAATTCCTCCGAGTCCTCCTTGTTGTTCCTCCCATCCCCCAAGTTCTCCATCGCCCTCCTGCTGTTCTCCGCGTCCGTGAGCGAGGCCAGACTCTTGGTCACAGCCGGTATGAAGGGTTTCAACGCGCGGACTATGAAGTAAGTGACGATCCCCGCTTTCTGGAGTGCCTCTTCCCTGTCCTCGCCGTGAGCTGGCTCGACCTCGAACTCCCCGTTCAGGAAGCTCAGCGTCGCGTTCGAGATGTGCACCCTCCTTCGAACCATTATTATTCGCTCGTTCCAACCTTTCTTTTTTTTTTTTTTTTTTTTTTTTTTTCATTTCACAGGGAAACGGTTCACAATTTTATCCAACGATAAATCAAACAGAAAACAAAAGAAGATAATCCATTCACCGAGGAATTATTATATCGAAGACACTTAGATAACTCGTCCCCGAATATACATAATAACAACAAGATCGAACTAGATCGAACTAGACACCCTTCCCTTAATATTTCTCTAATTAACTTATTTACTTAGATAGCGAATGAATTTTCAATGAAAATTTTTAAAAAACTTTCGTTCGTTTGAAAAAAAAAAAAAAAAAACTTCAACCCGCAAAAAATTATACGAACGACGATGATGATTTTTTTCGAGAAAAAATAGAAAGGGAAGGAAACCTCGCTTGACTTGAAGATTGAACGTTAATCATTTTCGATCGCATTAGCCTGATGGAAGGAAAGGAAGAATTACAAGATGGTAAGAGATGGATTTCAAAGGGAGGAGATATCTCGAATCCTCGGCTAAAATTAAAGTTACGACAGGGGTATTAAAAAAATTGCTCGCAAGGCGTAATTTCACCGGGTAATTAATGTCTCGAAAGATGGAGAGAGAGCTCATTACGTGTCAAGGTTTCGTGTATCGCCGCATCCGATATCGGTTTATTATACCGGAATTTTGCCGGCTTTCTCTCTTTCTTTCGATCCTCGACGAGGTCGAGAAATATTGTACAAAACCCACTTATTCGTGTGTAAATATACATATTCGAATATAATTGGTCAAGAGGGTGTTTAGGCCTTACCCTCTGCTTCTTTTGTTTTCAATATAAAAAAACAATAAAATAGAAGAAAATAAAAAGTTTGAAAAAGATTGGAGCGACTCTCACCCCGCCATTCCGCTGCTCTCCATCTTGTTGGCCAACTCGACGTCCTTGCTGTAGACGTCGAACTGCCATTGCCTCTGGCCAAGGACGCCGGCCAGCACAGCCCCCGTATGTATTCCCACCCTCATGTCGACGGGGCTGTTGGTCGTTTGTTGCACGTACTTGATGGCCTCCACCATCGAGAGACCCATGTAAACGCAGAGGACAGCGTGGTCCGGCCTTTCTATTGGAGCCCCGCTGATGCAGTAGTAACAATCGCCCAGGATCTTTATTCGCAGCTGCTCGAACCTGAACCAACAATTTTTTTTCACCGTGTGATTGAAAAAAGAAATTCGAGGAAAAGAAAAAGGAAGGGTAAGTTTTTGGCAAAATTTCTCTTCACCGATGTCGATTCAAATTTAAAATGGAATTAAATTGGAGGTAAAATTTTTTGGACGAGAAAAGAGATTGGAGAAAGTTGGAAGGGGATCGTTGTTGATCTCATGGCTTCACCCCCCCCCCCGTGATTAAGCCATAAAACAAAGTGGGTAAAGGAGGAGGATTTAATTTTTCACTCGATCTCTCGTTTTCCCTTCGGCGGATACATGTCAAGGAACAATCTCAAGCCGGAGTTTTCGTTGGGTTTATACGTTGACCTGTACCACTAACATCCAAGGGGATTATATTATGCGCCTTTTACCGACGTCTGTAATAACCGATTGAATTTTCTGCATTCCACTTCGCAGAGAGATCAGACTTCAATTATCATCTCCTTCTCCTTTCTCGAAAATCGTTTTCTTTAATCCTCAATCATCTCGAACCGCTTTTCAACGAATTAAATTTCTTCCACCCTACTTTTGATTTTACATTAAATTCAGATTTAAATCGATCCTCTCCCTGGAATAATATATTCTTTTATACGCGATACAAATTGAAACCACTTAAAATTTAAAATGGATACTTTTGCAAAAAATTCAATATCTTTCAATGTTTAAACAGAGATATTCTTTCGAATCTTTTCCGTGTTATTCCGTGTAAATATCAATTAAATTATTATCGTCGTTGGAGTTGTATATTATTTATTTGGATTATTTGTATACTCGAAAATAATCAGAAAGCAAAATTAGTAGCGGCAACATTTCCAGAAATATAACATAAGATAAGAAAGAGGAATTAGATTAAAAAATTCACCAACAAAAAAAAAAAAAAAAGACAACAACATAAATTGAAACAACGTCTTCGTTCGTGCCTCTCGTGGACGAATCGAGAAAGAGAAATTATGAAACGGTGTCGCTTCGTGCCCGCCCGTATCGATTGCAAGTCTCGTGAAGGACTCGGCGGGGTCTTTCTTCATCCGTGGAGGACGGAAGGAAGGAAGGAAGGAAGGAAGGACACGCCGATAAAGTCAATTTAGGGGCTGGCAATTTCAGGATTTTCATTATTCCCCTGGTCGAGGAAGAGGGGAATGAAAAGGTTCCGTAACCGGGTCACAGAGGATGGAGATAAACGAACGAATTCTTTCCCTCCCCCGATTAATCCGTTTGTTCGTTTATCGACCACCCCTCCCCTCCCCTCCCCTCCCCCTCCAGCTCGATCTCCACGATTGGCCACGAAGGCCACGAGAGGCTGTGTACCTCGGCCTATTCTTGCATTGCTCTTCCTCTCCTGTTAACTCTCGAGAATTCTCAAAGAAAAAGAAAAAGGAAAACTAGCCTCTCTTTCAAACTCCTTAAAAAAAAAAAAAAAAAAAAAAAAAAAAAAAAAAAAAAAAAAAAAAAAAAAAAAAAAAAAAAAAAAAAAAGCTATCTAATCTAATCTCTTCTCTAATGAAAATTTAATTAACGAATTTAATTATTATTAATTTATAGTTTTAATTTAATATTATTTTATGAGTATTTATATATTGAGAATATTTTATGAGTATATTTTTTTTTTTTTTTTTTTTTTTTTTTTTTTATTATAATTATTAGGGTCATTTCACCGACCTTTCGCTGAGTTGGTCGAATCGTGCGAACAACTCGTTCAGGATCTTGACCAATTCGCTGGCGCTGTACGTGGAGGAAATGGCCGTGAATCCGACTATGTCCGCGTACAGGATCGAGACGTTCTCGTGCCTGGACATGTAAATTTTCTTGAACTGGGTGTCAAGCGAGGCGCCAAGGTCCTGCCTCATCTTAACCGCCACGTGTTCAGGGAGCACGCTGAGCAACAATCTCTCCTGCTCGGTGCTCTGCTCCTCGATCACCAATTGCACCTCCAAACTCTGCCTAGTTTCCAGGAACGCTCTACGCTGTTGGAACTCCGTCAACGAGTAACTGGAGACACCGAGGATCATGGCGCTCACGGACAGCGTCACCGTCAACACCTGCAAGAAATTGTTTCTTTTTTTTTTTTTTTAGAATTGGAAAAAGAAGAGGGGAGGGGGGAAACGATCACTAGATTACGGGAGGATATAAATATTTTTATAAATAATATTCGCGTTTTGCGAATATATATATATATGTATATTGTCGTACGATGTGTTTTTATTTTAATCAAGAAGAAGAAGAATTATGCAATAGGAGAGGGGACTTTAAACGAAATGATTTATACGAGAGGTGTAAAATAAATATGGATGATAAGGTGGATATTGAAAAGAGGAGAGAAAAAAATTGTTAAATGTTTTTTTAAATGAATTTCAACTTTTTTTTTTCTTTTTTTTTTTTTTATCGCGGAATATTATATGGCTATTTCATTAATAATGAATACAAATGATGAAATAGAGAGATTATAAAGTGAAATCAGCCACGTTATTACATACATTTTTGCACGAGTGGAATATCTGTGAATGATCGTAAAAAAAAAATAAGAAAAGGAAAAAGCTATTTGTAATTTAATGAATCTCGCATTAAATCAACTTGATTTCGAGTTTAAAATTTAAAATTATGTTTCATGCATATGCAAGTTTCGGTTACTATTTTCGCAACAAAAACAACAACAACAATTTCGAATCGTAAGAAAGAAAAAAAAGAAAAAAGAGTTTCGTAAGCTGTCCTTCGATCTTTGGAATTCGCACCGTTCACATCATCCTTCAAAAACGAGAATTGTGCAAATTAATTCTACGTTTCGAATCTTTCGTATATCTCTCTAGTTATAACTAAATTTTGATCGTTAAACAAACCTCACTTGTGTAATTCAAAGAGATCAGCTCAAATCTAGTTAGATTTACATTTCATTATTATTATTTTCGAGATACTTTATTATTAAATTCTCTGAAAAATTTAGATCGGTTTTTAAGCAATCAATCAATCAATCAACATATCTCCTATCTCCATCACGCTCAACTTCTCATAATTTCTTTATTATTATCTATATTATTATTTTTACATTTGAATCAATTAAAAATAAACAATTCAAACTTTTCCTTTCCCTAATTTAATTTATCGATAAATTATTTCCACCGGACGAGGAAAACGGCTCTCGTCAATTCCCAATCCAAATCCCAATCGAGCAATATATACATCCGAATAATTAACACGTCCACTCTCGTTTCAAAATACGCTGTCGGTACGACGGATCGATAATCGTCCCTCCCTCCCCTCCGTTACGATTGTCAGAGCTTTGAAATTCGTTTCCAGGTGGCCGGTCGGAATCGACACGTCGCGCCATCCCTCGATTCCCACAATTTTCCGAACTGTGGCCACGCTCGATGGCGTCCCCCCCCTCCATTCGACGAGAACCGCTTTTGTATAGGAATCGTAATTGAATCCTCTTCGCGAGGAGAGGAGAAATTAACGCGAGGGATTAGCTTTCAGATTAAAATATCCTCGATCGATCGAAATCTTCGATCTCACTTTCTTTTTCCCTTTTTCGACACAATTTTCCTAATTTTCCTTCTCTGATCATTTTCGATCTCTGCTCTTTGCTTGTCCACGAGAATTATACGATACGACGCGTCCCGTCTCGCAGGCGCTCATTAATCGGGAAAAGGATTGGACGCACCCTTGATTAACCCTTGGATGGAGGGGTTGGTTGAGCATTAGAAAACAGGCGATGATTTCAATTGTCCGACAGGATGGATTGTTTCCACGTGTCGATGGCTTCGAAAGAAACGTTCAACTGCCCATTGAAAACCGATCGTATGTCGTGCATGGAAAGGCGGCATGTCGCGTCATTGCACATCTCTCTCTCTCTCTCTGTCTGTCTCCATGCCGCTCTGCTGTGCATCTTCTTCTCCTTCTCTTCCTATATCTCTCTCTCTCTCTCTCTCTCTCTATTTTAAACAACCATTGACCGAACTCTACTCGAGCGTCACTAACGATAGAACGAACCGTGTACACGAATCGAACTTTCGCTTTCGCGATCGTCCGGCCAAATTTGTAACGTAACTCGAATCCTCCGTCACGGTTCACGTCCGAAACCCGATATCTTTGTCACGTCGATACGACGATGATTTCGGGGAGAGGAAGAAGATAGGATAAAAAAGGAAAAAAAAAAAAGAAAGAAAGAATTCGAGCGCGTGCAAAAATTTATACGCAACCTTGAATTTTATAATCCATATAACGTAACGCGTAGCCTTGAATTTTAATCTCTCGTAAAAGAAAAAAAAAAACGAATTTAGATTACTTTGATAAAGGAATTCTCGCGACCTGCATACATACACACGCCCGGATTTCAGAAGGGAGATCGATCAATCGAGTTGATTAGGTCTCGTTCTATTCTCGAGAAGAGCATTCTTTATAAAAGAGAACGTGAAAAGAGAAAAATTCATAATCCGGCCGATCCTTAATTCGCTCCATTCTCATCGTGTCACGCGAGAAGAAAATTCTCGAGAAAGTAAATTTTTGAAACTAGTCCATCTCGAAAAACTCGTGGAAATTCGACTCGGCTTTTAATAATCATCCACGAGCTTGTGGGTGGAAGAATTTGGGATGCTAATCGACGGGGGGAGGGGAGGGGATGATTAGCAATTCTTTCATCAAGGATCGATCGATCGACAACGCATATTTGAATTCGAACAATTCTCTTCAACGATGACCGATCGGGAAATGGGCGAGTTCCTCGTTTAATTACAAACTTCCCTTGTTCGTTCACCCCTTTCGCGGGGTTACATCGTCATTTTAATTAGCCGGGCTAAACTGGACGTTGACTGTTGTGCGGGGAGCAGACTGATTAAAAACAACGTTTTACTTCTTTCGTGAAAATTTCGAGGATTCTCCAACAAATTTTTAGAATATTTTAGATCGACGCGTTTTCCTTTTCTTGCGTTTGTGCGTTTTGCTTTGGTTTTAAAATTTTAAAAGTTGGAAAAGTTATAACTAAAAACGATACGATATTATCGATAATAATTTCTTTGTGATTGTAACAAATTTTTTTTATCTCCGAGCAAAGAAAAGAGCAGAGAAAAGCTTGTATACAGATTGTTTATCTCCCTATATTATTTTTAATTTTACTCATCTGGGAAATATATAAATATAAATTCGCAAATTCGATTTAATCCGTTTCTTAATAAATAAATAATTAATAATGTTTGCTTAATATTTTAGATTCCAATGAAATTTAATATGAAAACTCACACTAATTTCCGATGTATGTAATTGGGTCACGCAAACACGAATATAATGATATAATAAGATTAAGTTTAATTAAAGAGAGAGGTATTACGGTATCGCGATTGTTATAATACAAAATCTTTTTGTAACCAATTTTGTCTACAACCGCAAACTGTACATTTTTTTTAATGTTCAATATCGAAACACAAATATTTCACGAACGTATTTCACAAACGTAAATGCAACTGTTAGAAAGAATTGCTATGAGCACAATACTTTTTCGATCAGAATTTCTCTTGCCGCTCGAACGATTCACGCTGCTTTTTCTCGAATCGTGACCGCCTCTTACGATAGCCCAGTGTATAACCTAAAATTTGCACTATTGAACAGGAGATAATTAAGATGAGTACGATATTTAGAAAAAAAACGACAGGCTGTCCCTTTTGTGCAGTTGTTGAAAAACACACGTGCATCACGCACAGTTATCTCCGATAAAATTAATGTCGAGATTTTTATTGAGATAAAAAACACGATCATATAGCACGTCTATTTATTTTCATCGTGCCGCTTTAATTCCAATCGTCTATTTATAATATATTAAGGGACAGTTTACAGGTCGATAATTCCAGTGTTAAAGATTTGATGTAACGACGGTTCGCCGAGGGGCGGATTAAATGTGTAAAATTTCTAGGTTATATTTAGATCAAAGCGCGAAAGGTTAGAATTTTTTTCAAATTAATCCCTCGTTGATAAACCTCGTTAAACTCAACCAAGATCGGTGTCTTCGAGATTGCCTTTCCTGACTCTGAAGTCTCACTGTTCCGTTGGATGGAAAAAAGAATCGCGACGAGAATTCCAACAGTTTACGAACAATCAGCCGGGACGTTAACTTGTTGCACGAGCGCCGCGTTTCGGCAATTTTCTCACTCGTTTTATATTTCCTTGCCATTCCTTCTCAGGAGGACACTTTTCAGAGACCTTATTTTGGAATCGAAGAATCAACCGGATTTCCATCATTGTATAGCGCGTTTTCCACGAGTGAAAATAATTAAAGAAACGTTCGTCTATAAATTCTTTAAGAATTTTATACGTTAATTACGAAAAGTTGAACGATACGTTTTAGTAGATTTTATATATAACGCGGAATTTTAAAAGAGGAATACTTTCCATCAGAGATTATTGTATTTGCCTAAATTAAAAATTTCGAGACGTTAACGGATAAAATTTAAAACACATTTTTATATATTTCGTAAGTTACACCGCTTAAAATTGATCCAGAAAATAAGAAAGCAACGTCTCCTTTAGCCGATTTTCGATCCAAAGGATCCGGTGATTAAAAAAAAGACCAAGATGTCTAATCCAAAGATCCGTTATTTTTAATCGACGTCGTAACGTATCGAGTTCTATAAACGGGCATCGGCTAAAATTAGAATATCCTGGAAACACAGCGCGCGCGAAGCCTCTAATGTAAAAAAAAAAAAAAGAAGCGCGTTGAAATAACGAAAAGTGACGATGAATCGGAACGAAACGATAAAGTTCCGTCGATTCGAATCGAAAGAAAGTGTAATCGAAAGAAAAAAAAAAAAGAGAGGGAGAAAAAAAAGTTCCATTTAAAATTCGAATTCCGCAAACTCGCAAACTCCCTTCGGAGGGAACGCGTGCTCGGCGTATTTTCAAAAATAGCGACCGAGTAGCACACTCGGGGCTCCCCATTCAACGTTCCATCGCATAGGCGTTGGGATAGAAAACAATGCGTGGAAAACGTTGTGACAATGGATCGTTCGAGGCGCGACCACTCGACACCGCGTCTTCGTATATCGTCGCGCGTATCGATCGATCGAAAAAACGCACGTAGAAGAAGGCGGCCGCCTGATCACGGCAAATTAGTCGGGCGGGGATTTCGGTACGCGGCAACAGTTGTTTCCAGTCGGCTCGAGACCGAAGGCTCGAGACATGGCGAAATATCGTAGAAACTAAGCGTAGAAACGTTCGATCGTATATCGAGAATCGTATAATGTGCCTTAATCCCAGCGGCCATCTTTCGCGCTGTCGTATATACACCCCAGAACGCGTGTTCTCTCGAAGCAATAGAATTGGCGAGGTATCGTGGAAACGCGTAACGTGAAACACGTACCAAAACGTCGACGGGTATCTGTGCAGGCGCTTTCGACAGCCCCACCACGGACATCACGTATACCGTTGCTGTGCTGCACGCGAGGAGGACGCAGATGGAGAGCCTGAGGGGCAGCGTGGCGAACAGAAGGTAGAGCATGAGCAACAGCCAGCCCAGCCCGTCCCTAGGCGTGACCTCGGTCGACTTGAGGAACAGCTGAGCGAGTAGGTGTGCGGTGGACAGCTGCCAGACCATGTGAGGCACCAGCGACCAGAGCGCGTCCTTAGCCCTTGGATTGTGCTTCGCCCAGGCGAGGAAGCCGAGGTTCAGGCCCAGGAAGACGGCGGTGAGGCCCCGGGCCGGCAACTCCTGGCCAGGCGTGAACAACGTGTTGGCGCCGAACAGGAAAGCCGAGACGAGGAAGTACTCGAGCCCGCCCCGTCTCTGCTGAAGGGAGGAGGCGCGGTACAGCGTCTCTAGCTTCGCGCTGCTGAAGCTCGTCCGCAGCAGGTTCGACGGCCTGCCCGCGCTCAGGTACGAATCCTCGTTCGAGGTCTCTTGTCTCCGTAACATGGCGCCGCCTCTCCCTCTCCCTCTCCCTCTCTCTCTCTCTCTCTCTCTCTCTCTCTCTCTCTCTCTCTCTCTCTCTCTCTCAATCTCACCGATATCTTCACATATCTTCTTCGGTCGAGGAGCGCGTTGCACGAGCGGAATTCACTCGGTTGATTACTCGACGCGTCGAAGGAACATGGTCGAACCACATCCGTGGTTGCCTCGCTCGGGGGTTGCGCGGGGGAGGAGGCAAGAGAGGAGCCCAACCCCTCCTCGGCGAAGGATCTCGTACGCGCCTCGTTTGTGTATATATATATATATATATGTGTGTGTGTGTTTGTGGTGTGCGGGTGGCAAAGGGTTTATTATGATGGGACGAGCGGGTTGCTGGTCGTGTGCGGTTGTTATTATTTGGCCCCGTCCACCCCCCGTGGCGTTTCGTTTCTCGCGAGCGGGAGAGCACACACGCAGCCTCGGGTCGGGTTTTACACTCTCACGCACTCTCACACACACGGAGGACGCAGATGCAGCTGCACCCGCGCGCGGGGTACTGGCCGGGTTACTACTGGCGGCGCTCTTCCTTCTCTCCACACTCTCCATCCGTCTCCGCTCCTCCGGCCGCCTCCACCGCGCCGTCCGCCACCTCCTCGCGCCCGTTCCAGGCTTGCGCCATGCGAGCCGCCCAACCACCCCTTGCGACAGCTCTCCCTCTAACCCGCCGCGGGTCGATATCAACCCGACCTAGCTGCACACCCAAACGCCTCCTCCTCGCTTCCTCCCGATCTCGGTCACCCGATTTTCGTCTCCTCTCCACCGCTCTCGAGGAAAGTCCAACGAGGGAGAGGGAGGGAGAGAGAGGGAGGGAGGGAGGGGTCAAGGAACCTTCTTTGGGGGAGGAAGAGTACGAATCGCGTAGGTGAAGTGAATAGGTAGAGAAGGAAGATATTCTATATCAATCGTCTACTTTATCGCGCTCGAACAATTATTCGTTTTAAGCGAATAATAATATATATTTGGTTCGTTACACGAAGCTATATTCGGGATATTACAAGAGTGAACAATTTCTTGATTACTATTCTCTACTACAGTTGAGTCGATCGAAATGTATTCGCGTGTTATACAGAGGAGATAATAATGTTAATCCTTATTTCCGCTACGGGAAACACCTCCATTCTCCCGAACGAAATTGGGAACGACTCGTCTATTTCTCTTACGAGCCTCTCTTAACTCGCCTCGCCTCGAGTCATCGTTTATTTATCAAATCACGCGATTTCTTATCCCATTTATTTTAATAATAATGATAAAAAAAAGAAGAAGAACGAAGAGGTCGTATTTGATCTCTCGTCAATGATCAATCGATACCTCGCGCCATACTTCTGTAAGAAGAAAAGCCTGTTACAGTTGAAGATTGAACGTAGGGGGGAGGAGGGGGGGGGGGGGGGAAAGATAAAAAAAAAGAAAAGAAAAACGAACAAACGAAGAGGAATAATAATAACAATATAGAACGTTTGTTCCTGAACGAGCGAACCCTCAAATCCCTTGTTCGAGTGAATCGAATCGAAGCTGTGCCCTTGGTTTTTTTGCCGTGACACGTCGTGTATGGGTTACATGTATTGATCAAGAAGAAGAAGAAGGGATATTTAATATCGTGACATAGGGGGGAGTGGAGGGGAGGGGAGGGGAGAGGGGGGGGAGATCCTCTAAATTTCAATCCTCGACCAATTGGCCCAACTGTTCGAGTATCTCCTCGGGCACGATGTAGCCGAGCTGCTTCATCTCTTTCACGATCTGGGGCACTTTGCTGAGGTTGTCGATCCACTTGTAATAGGGCAACTCCTCCCTGATTCCCCCGTACCTCTTCGGCAGATGGAAGGGTGAGATGTGCTTGTGAAGGCTGTCCATGTTCCCGCCGTGGAAGAATATCTTCTTCTGCATCCTCGCGTCGAGGAGAGGTTTGAACACTGAGAACATCACGTCGAACACCCAGGATTGGTGGAGGATGTGTATCGCGTGAGTCTTCATCGGGAACGCAGACACCATCAGGGCTATCACCATATTGGCAACCTGATAGGGGAAAAGGATCGATGAAAAATCCATTTTATCTTTCCTTTTTTTTTTTCAGATTAATTGAAACCGTTTCTCCGACTTCGCTCGCTTGCGCTCGCTCAGTTAGAGGAGGGGAAAGGGGGAGATTTTTTTCAAAGAGTTTTTTATTTGATATCTCGCGCCTAAAATTAACAAAGGACAAATCATCACGTAAAATGATGAAAGACTACTAACGCTATACTTAATCAAGGGATGATTATTTTCAACATAACAGATAATAGAAACACATAATAGATTTTCAAGATAATTGACATTATCTCTAAACTTAACACTATGCTTTAAATAAGAGTAATATATCTTATTTTTTTTTCAAAAAAAAAAAAAGAAAAAAAACATTTAATGTTTTATAATATTACATTATAAGAAAATATTTCGATATATATTAAATATAATATTACATAAATTCGAAACTTAATTTTAATCCGTAACGACTTTCAATCTCTCCCGCGTAAATAGCACGGAATAAATAAAGCGAGAACCATGTTTGATTTATTAATTTCACAGTTTGAACAAGAGGACAGGATTTTAATATTTTTAATCCCCCAAATATCGAAATTGTAAGCCTCGTAAATCGATAATTGAAAAATTTTCGCATTGAAAGATCGTCCAAAGCTTTCTCTCTCTCTCTCTCTCCATCGATCAACGATCCATCGAATAAGAGAATCCAGTTAAAGAGGATGCGCGAAAGAAAGTGGAGAACTTTACGGATTGTTGAAGTTTCAAGGACAAGCCGTTAGTGGCTCTATACAAGCCGCCACTTCACCGGATATTCGGGATGAATAAACGCAACGGAGAGAGGAGAGGGGGGCTATTAGTTTCAAGGGCGGTTATGGACGGTTTAAGTTTCAAGAACAAGCTGAAAAGTTGATCGATACAGATACGAATTGGAGACGATTCCGGTTCTCTCGTTATTATTACCTCGTTATTATTACCACTCACTGTTATCACTTTAAAGAAATTTCAAGATTGAAGGTATTTCATCTTTCGTTCTAATGTTCGATATTCTTATATTATCAGAATTCGTTCTCGTTCATACGCTATGATATAAAGAAGACGAAATTTTAGAATAGAATTTTAAAACAGAAAGAAGGCGAAATTTTAGAATATTTAAAACGGTGCCTTGTTAAAAAACGGCTGTACAAGATGCATAGGTTGCAAGCGGGAAAGATTGCTCTTTACACTCAGTTATATTCACTGGTTAAACACAAGTTCATACGGTCGTGCAAAGAAGACGAAATTTTAGAATATTGGAAATTAGAAATAGAATATTGGAATTTAGAAAATTTTCGAGGGATAGTGTGAACGATACCTGGGGAGTGATGGTCCATGCGTGGGCCATGGTGATGCCCTCCAAATCGAATATCACGGTTCCGCCGAGGATCTGGGCCCTCGGCTCCAGGACGCCGAGCTCGAGAATAATGATGGTCGCCTTGAAGATCTCCTCCACGGAATACTTCCTTGGATCCCAATTCCCCAAACGATATATCATTATCCTCCTTCCGCATTGGGTCCTGTACGGGGGTACGGAAACGACGTCGTCGTCGCCGATGTACTTCATCTCGAGCGGCCTTATATCCTGGTGGATCTCCGGATGTTCCTCTTTGAAGTTGCAGTAATTCACGATCTATCGAAAGATCTCTTGAGAAGAAGAGGTTGATTTTTCGCCTACGTATTAATATACGTAGTATGCGTAAAGCTCTCTCACGGATACGAAGGAAAGAATTTGACCGATTTTTGATCAATATTTATATTATCAGGAGTGGAGAAAGAGATTGAAAGTGAGTTTTTTTTTTCTATTCTAAGGGGATTAATTCTTCTCCAATTCTCGATTTATGGGATAACAAGTGTTCACAGTTTTCTCAGAGTTCAAAGTCGAGGGGAGGCGAGTAATTCTATAAAAAAAATTAAAATCTCTCTAAAGTCGAGGGCAAATATCGAGGGTAATCGATGAGAAGTTTTTGAAGGAGCGTGTTTCTTTTGATCTGCGAGGGAAACGAAGCTCGTTGCAATTATAATTCGACCGATCATCGCCACGACGATACGAAAATTTGCAGAAATGCAATCAACTGTTTCTAATGACAGGAGGAACGCGAAATTGTGACGCGAATTCGTATCGTCGAGAGCCCTTCGAAGAGATTATTCCTTTTTCTCTTCAATTTTTCGATCGCGTTACCTTTTCCTTGTGAGATCGAAGCAGAGTAATTTTCTAATTTGATTAATTTCTTTGCTTCTTTTCGAGAAATCAAGTATTCTTGGAATTGGAGAAGATGGCTCATGATCATTTATAATAATATCAATTCTTTGTAATTAAAAAAATAAACTTTGATTCGAGACTTTGTCGCGTGACTAATCGAATTTGTTCGATAATTGTTTCCGTCATCGAGAAGACAACGAACGAGGAAAATTTCAGAAGAAAAAAAATTAATCAACTTAATACACCCGTTTTATGAAATTAGACAAATTACGTGGAAATAATCTCCTCGGAAGAAATAAGAGAGAGAGAGAGAGAGAGAGAGAGGGGGAGAGAGAGAGAGGGGGAAAAGAAAAGACATCAATTTCTCAAGATATTTATAATATCACATCAAGCATGTAGCCTCTTATTCAGTTTCTCCTTGACACGATTGTGCAACTGTTGCAACTGGATTCGTTTCACAAATCATGCAACGCTCGGCAAATTATCTTATCCTATTATTCAGTGGCGATAAATTAAAATTAAAAGGGACGATAATTTAAAATTGCAATAAACACAGTGTAAATTTCTTTCTGTTCGATTAAGAAAAAAAGATGGAAACAGACGAAAAGAATTCCTAATCGAGCACGATCCGATCCCAAAAATTAATTAATAATTAAATTAATTAATCCGCCAAATAATTTCGTCAAATAATTTCGTGTATAAGAAATAAAAGGTTAAAGAAGAAAAAAAAATAAGCTTACCAATCGATGTGCCCGATTAACGTTGAAATTCCTCGTTCTCAAAAATCTGATCAAAAAATCGTCGTCCATCCTGCGCGGCAGGCACTCCCCTCTCTCTGTTGAAAACACAAAAACACGAAATCCTCTTCTAATCTCAAGATTAAGAAGAAAATTTTTCATTTCTTTTCGTGTAAACAAAACTTTTTAATTACCGAAAAAGAGAAAGCCTCCTCTCTCTCTCTCTCTCTTATTAATTACCGAAAAATAGAGAGAGAGAGGGAGAGAGAGGCTCCTCTCCAATTACCATAAATCATATCCCTCAGTTCCTGAAGAGTCCTACACTTCACGTCGTCCGTCTCCCCGAGCTCCCGCCTCGCGTAATCAATCACTTCCGGCGACGGTTCTCCAAGGTCCAGGCACACCTCCTCGTCGTCCAACGGTTGATCCCGATCGTCCTTGAGTTCCGGCATCCCGTCGCGGCGCTTTCCAACATCGATCCCCCCGTTCTCCACCGTACCCCTCCTCTCCAACAGGATGTCCCTCGCCTCGTCGTCGTCCCTCAACAACCCGACAACCGTCACGACGCCGTCGTCGATCCCATTCGACTCGTTCCGCTGCGGCATTATTATTATTCGTCCTGCGTGTCAATTTTCCTAGGGAATTTTCGCGTTCACTTGCGTTCACACCGCGAAGAGTGAAGGGGTGTGGAGGGGAAAAATTGGTTTTCGATCGAGAACGATTGGCCGAATTCGGGGAAAAAGGTCGGATCAAAAGGAAACGATGCCGATGTCGAGAGATTTTAACCTCGACAACGCGATCGCGGCCGGGTAATAACCGAGCTCCGCCATTCGCGGCTACCTTTCGACCGTACGTTTCGTTTTTGTCGCCTTTCCTCGAATCGAGCCGCGCAAATCCCCACGGTTTCGAATTCAAAAGTTTATTCTTTAATTATTAATTAATTTGTTTGAAAAAGATTTTGAAAAATTTGAAAAATTACTCGACTATAGTAATTTTGGAACGAGATTCAGACATTTTTCTGGGGAGGGAGAACAATCGTTGGATTTCGTTTCCAATGAAATTGTTGAAAGTGAAATTAAAAAACGAGACAGGTACGTATGAATTCGTTGTTGTATACACGAGTAATGGATTCTTTCTTTCTTTTACAAGCGATTAAATCTTGGCGACGAGAAGAGTCTTATCTACGAGCCACTGATCACGTGACGCGTGCACCATCGACGATCCTTCCGCTTCCTATCCGCGGCGAAGCAAAAGCGTCAGAGTTTCGAGAAGATTATCTCTCGAAACGGTCACGAAAATTTCAACAATCCCTTCAATCAAACACTATTTTCACTATTTTCCAGCCGTTCCATTATTCTGTTGGAGATTTTAAAATGTTATAAAAGGAAGGAAATAGATTCGAAGGGAATGGCAGAGCGGAGCGACGTCGATCGGTGACGCAAACCGGCGGCAACTACGGGTTCGGCCTTGTTGCACCGAGTCAAAACGCGACCGCGGTTTCCCTCTTACCTCGCGTCCTTTGAGAACCTTCGCGATAGAGGGAACAATCGCGCCATTCTCTCGGTCGCGAATCAGAATCACTCGTCGCCTTCTTCTTTCCCCCCCCCCCTCCCTCCCTCCCTCTGAAAAAAATCCTTCGATACGTTTCGAACGTTCTCCCTCCATGAAGCAAATTTCGAATCGATACGATTTTAATAATTCGTTGTGAATATTTATTTTAACGGATATCGGTTCGTAGAAAATTTCTACGAAAAATTTTGTTATTTGTACACGCGAATAAGGTTAAGGGGATGGAGTTATAAAATATACAAAATATCGATGTGATGATCCGAATGAGAAAAGATAAATGATTTTTTTTTTTTTTTCATACGCAAGGTTGTTGCGCGAGCGTGAAAGTTTTTCTGAAGCTTCGATTTGTAACGGGGAATTAAATTTAACTCTCTCGAGGTAGTCGAATGCGTTTTTAAACTTGATCTTGTCGATCGGGGAGAAAAACGCGCGATAATAATCGCCATTAGTCACGTTTCTTCAATTCAAATGTATCCGACACCCATTAAATATCGACGTTAATAAAATTTATAATATTACCTATTCAATTTTCCACTCGATCGCAATCTCTCTCTTCTCCTCCCCTATTTAACGCCATAAATTATATATACTGTTGATGGCCGTCGACGATCCGTAATAATTGGCCACGTGTTATCCTTTTAATGGCGACAAAAAGTCGTATATATATATATATATACATATTCAGTCAATTAAAAGTTATATACCAGCTTTCTAATCCCGTAAAAAAGATCATTTGCGCGTATCAATGTCTCATTAAGTATCGTATATACATACATATACACGCAATGTTTATCTATTCCGACGGTCTTCCGTCAAAGAAGCGTCCTCGACGAGCATCTTTTTTTCGAGGGGAAGAATGATGTTTGCGATCGGAGAAAGTTCAAACTTCACAAGTTGAAGCATAAACGGTACGCATAGTGGAGCGCGAGGCAAATTGCGAGGTTGCCGATTATTCGAGATTCGGCATTCGAACATGAAACACTGGAGTTGGCGCTCGCGATTCGATGCGCGGATTCGGCATAAAAACGGATCTCTCTCTCTCTCTCTTTTTCTCCGGTTCCGCGTGTAAAAATAAAAATGCGAAGCGAGGGAAACTGAATGGAGATCGTATCGTGTGTGGGTGTAAGGTTCCGTATCGACCCGCGTTCCCACGGATCAATGGGTAACACGGTTCAAAGAACATCCTCGATCCGATGGTTGATATACGGGTGCGTATATCCCGGTCGATTTATCGCGTAAGAGCAGGTGGATTTCTCCGCGCGAGAATAAAAAAGAAAAATAAAGAAAGGAATAAAAATATTGGTAGAAAGTCGAGACACATTGTATCTTCGAGTTGGGGATACTCGAAGTAATGTGGTCAACGGTGTTTACGTTTACTATTTTCGGTTGGGCAATTAGCGGATAATAAATCTGAATTATCCGTTAAAAGTTATATACGAGTAGCGATTGAATATTATTATTATTATTATTATTATTATTATTATTACAGTGAAATCAACCGACAACAAATTATTGTAAACGGTGTATAAATGTTTGCTCGATCGTAAAACTTGAGATATACGAGTTTCCACTGCCGCATTGCAGGATATTGTATATTTAATTCGAATGGAAATAACACGGTTGCGTCATTTGGAAAAATATATTATCAAAATATCATCTATTCTCGTTTGCGAATTATCACGGAAAAAATCTGGAAAAAATCTCTAGCGCACAAATTTTATATCTCGCTTATCGTTCATGCCGTTTATCTCGAGAGATTGCCACGAGATAAAAACCCCCCTTGCCTCTCGAAATTCTTGAGAGAATCGCGCCACATCGCGATTGATACAAAAATGCAAAGCCATTGAAACATATCGAGATCGTTATATATTGGCGTAGCATCAACGGGGATTGCGAAACGTGTCATGGCCATCCTGTTGCATCCACGGTTTGGTGCTTTCACTAACGATCACGTGCTCGACTTGTGGCGTGGGTGGCGTACATTGCGATTCACGCGCTCTAGAGAAAGTAAAAGCTATATATCCAAACACTCGTCGATACTCGTTCACATTTCCTCGTCACAATTGCAGCCAACTACACAAATGATTCGAGTAATGACACGATGCAGTAGGGTGTTGCTCATACACGGCGATATTTGTGCGATTCTTTCGAGAAATCTCGATCGAAATTAAGGAGGATAATTCGGAAGCGTGTAACGTTTAATCGTTAAATCGAAATGATTCGAAAATGAATCGTTTCGTTAATTGTCTAACTGCGATTATATATAAAATTAAATATATAAAATTATGTGTAATATTTATATCATACAATATAATATTATATATAAAATTATATATAAAATTGTCAATTAAAAGCGAGAATAAAGGAATAGAGGAGATTGTCGAATTGCGTAACTCGTTCCACCGGATTATACCGACACGGTTTCTTTTAACTGTTAAAATTTATTTATTATACGAATCGACGAGCCGGGGGGGGGGGGGGGGGGGGGGGGGGGGGGGGGTGGGNTCCGCGAGGTGAATTGAAAAAAAATTGTAAGGCAGTTACAGTTGAATTTTGTAAAATTTCGTTTTCACGTATATAATTCGCGATGGAAACGACGAAAGACAAATTGTGTGTATGACGCAATCGTTCAATTACGTTCGTTGTTGTAATTTCGACTCTGCATAAGCGCAATTATCGCTACTTTCTCTGCTCCCGCGGACACGAGTAACTGCAATTACTTTTTTTATTTTTTTTCGAAACGTGATCTTTCACGTAACTGCTGATCGTTCGAATGAGTCATTAACTTTGCGTTCCATTTATTCTTCGTCTGTCTTTTTTTCTTTCTCTCTTCTCCTCTTTTCATCGCTTACCACCACCGATCTTTCATAGATTCGAATCGTATCGTTTCTTTTCCTTTTCTTCTTTTCCTTTTCTCCTCGCTTACGTGAATGAATAGCAGCAGATTGATTCAAATGAAAAACTATAATTTATCAAATCAATACTTGCTCTATTGGAGAGAGGAAAAATGTTGAAATTGATTAATTAAATGAAACTTCAATCTTTTGAAAATGTCTAACAGAATTATTTATTTATTTTAAAACCGTGTGCGTGATCTTTTACTCCAACTTTCGAAAGTGAAAGAAAAAAATTTGAAGATTTTGAAGAAGTGGAAATTTGCCGAGATATTTAAAAAAAAAATCTAAAATAAATTCCCAAAATCTACCTTAACTGTAACACGTATAATAAACACTTTGAAAAAAAAAAAGAAAAAGAAAAAGAAAATCGCGAATCGAGAGAATCGAGAAAAATTTTAAATCCGCTTATAAAGCAATAAAAAATACACGAGAGGGGATTTTTTTTTAAAATACTCACTCCTATATGCTCGACTTGGGGAACCGTCAAGGACGCGAGGTGATCCGTGCGCTACCGCGAACCTGAATGCACTGTGGCGCCGGAGTGCCCCCTACTAGTCCGCTCCTAGCCTTCTTCCGTGTTTGTAAATCTGCGAACGAGAAAGTCGTACACGCCGATTGTGGCACAATCGCCGATCCTATCGAGTTCTATCGTGGAGAAGTTCGAGTTAGCGGCTCGAAAGATCGAGGCCCTCGTTCTCGACCCCTTCGAGAGCCTCGACTTGGGTCAAACGTTTCGTTTCCGTGGAACGGAAATCGGCAAGCGCGGGAAATGCAGGCAAATGTATAAGTAAATGTGAACGAACTCGTGATGGGATGTAAATGGGATACGATACGAAATGGATAAATAAAAAAAATTAAAAAGTGAGTGAAAATGCTGAGCTGAATATATAACGCGTATAAATTTTGTAAATGGATAAGAATAAATTGCGATGTAGAATAAATAGGGGAAAATATTTAATCGTATATTTAAATATTGTAATCACATTGCTCGAGCATAGATACACTTTTTCTTTTATGAATAACAAGATTTTCCAGATCTATCATCCTTCAGGATCATTTTCTATATATATTTTCAAATTTCGAATTTTATTAATTTTATACGTATATGCGAAGAAGAATGTATATGCTTTATATAGAAGAGAATAGAATCATCCAATGAAGTAATCTCTCTTGCATTATTAAGAGAAACAATGGTCAAATTTAAAACACGTGGAAGAATCTCGTATTCCCTTTATAGGGGGGAAAAAAAAATTCTTATGAAATTTCAATATCGATCTTTGTTCGAGGAAATATATAAAAAAGTATGTACACATCTCGAGTAAATCTATTTCTTTTTTGTTTGCGAATTATCAGAAAAAAATATTTAAATATCGAGTTAAGCTGGATATGACGAATGATGAAAAAAAAAAAAAAAAAAAACTATCATTATCTCAATAATCTGATCAAATAATCGCTGTAATAACTCATTACGCAACTTATTACGTAAAAGAAATTTTCTACTTGAATCGATCGAAGTTTAAAAAAAAAAAATTAATTATACGAATATCAGGTTATCCTTCTTCGCTCATTTTTTTTTTTTTTTTTTTAAAGATTTCTAAAGATTTTGCGACTGATCTCCAACCGACTGATCCAGTTTCAAGGGTTGCTCGCCGCTTAATGGGTGGATAAGCTGCTCGTTGGAGCAGAGATTCCAAATCCGTTTGGTTAACGAAATCTATCTCGAGGAGAGATAGGTTCTGAGAAATGCGAAATCGATGTCGAGGACGTCAATTCTCCCAATATTACAAACGAAAATATTTTGATAAAAGTGCGAGAAAAAAAATTAGTTTCTCCAAAAAAGTAGTTTGGTGAGACAGAAAAATTTTTTTTTTTTTTTGAAAAAAAATCACAATATCGTAATAACAAAGTTGTGAAACAACTTTCATTTTCCGATTAACACTGTATGTACATGTATATATATTTATTAAACGTGCTATAAATTTCTCTTAATACCAATGTAATCCGTCCCCGGATTACGAAACTCTCGAAACCTTTTCGACTAAACTCAATCTGGTCTTTTAGATTTT